AAAAATCAAAATATTAGTATAACAAAAAATGAAGCAGTTACAAACTTCAATAAAAGTATCATAAGTTAACTAAATACTCAAACTCATAATTTCCACTAAACGACAATGTGTAAGCGATTTACAGCCTGACTCTCTAAAATATCCACATCAGAGTCGCCAAGCTGTCATAACCGTTTTTAGGTGGATCAATTATTTATTGTTTTAAAACCAGTTACAACTTTAATTTTGGAAAATTGGTGATTTTGAATTAAATTGTATAGAGTCGCCATCGACCTTTGGATTAGGTAGGTCGAATACCTAAAAATGTCTTTTAAAAAAATTTAAGAAAAATTATTTTTTAAGACAAAAGCTGGTCTGCGTTTACCAAAGATTCGATTAAAACCGGTTCGGGAGTCGATTACGCGTGGGGAATGATTAGCACCCCCACAACGGCCAAAATTAGTACTGTGTCGCTTACACGTTGTCGTAATGGTGGAAATCTTGAATCAAATATAAAGTTAAAATATGATCCAATTATTGAACATTAATTTGCTTCAAATTAATTAATTTAAAGGAGGAAATTCAAAGAATTGAAATGAAAACAAATAAATATTACAAACCTAAATACAAATAACAAAAATAAATATTTAAATTTATAAAGACTAAAATAGATAAAAACAAAAATTTTAAGGATCAAATATCACAAACTAAAATTTAAAGACTAAAATAGCAAAAACAGAAATTTTAGGGACATAATAATAAACAAACATAAAGTCTAATTAATATGTAAACATTATATACTAAAACATAAATTAATTCCCAAAGAAAAATACAAGACCAAAATAAAAATAAATAAATAAAATGCCATGCCTAAAACAAAAACTCATAAATAATCAATAACATGAACAAGATGGTTAAAATGAAATAATAAAAACTTATGATGCTTATAACCAAATAAGTTAAAATACAGTGACTCATTTGTGAATATGAACATAAACATATTTAATGATAAATTGAAGGCTATAATAAAATATAAATAAATAAAGAGATTTAAGTAAAAAAAACTGGAAATTCATTGGTGACTAAAATGAAATAATACAAAGTTACTATGAACCCAAAATGTAATTAAACCATACGCTAAAACACAACCCAGGTCCCTCTTAATACGACGTCGTTTTACGTCCAATATATGTATGTAATTTTAGGCAAAAAATGGTCATTCACCCTCATTTGTGTCGGTTTCTGTTGCGTGTTATGAGTACTATAAAATATACGCAAATAATGTGCAAGTATACACAATCGCTCAAGTAATACAGTGATGAGTGAGTATCGTCTCCACAGGGATTGGGTGAAATTACTAAAGTCTAACCAAAGCTAAGCACTAATCTATCTATGTATAGTTAATCTTTATATATACAAATGTCACGGCAAAAAGAAAATGTGTATAAAGGTGGATGTAGATGAATGGTCTGATGGTGTAGCAGATGGAAATGTAATGGCAAGATAAGATGTTTAGTGTTGAAAATGATGTAATGTCGAGGCAATGAAATATGGTAAATAACACTAAATAAAATGAAAATAATATAATCCTCACTTGATAAGCTTCCAATGGAATGAATGGTAGGGATTGATCTAAGGATGTTAAACTTATTTATCAGGTATATCTAAGTTATCTAGTCTTTACTTGCTCGACAGGGCTTTCCTAAAATGTTCTCAAAGAAACCTAACAGAATAGGATGCCAAGGCATCTGTTCTCACTCAACGATGTTGGCCAGTCTACCCTATTGATAAAAATACCCTTTTTAGTCATTGATCCTATCCTAGTCTCTCCCGAGATCTAAGGGATTAGGTTGTAATATCCCTAGGCTGGTTCAAAGCCCCTTGGAAATACTATAACCCATTGCTTATGAGGATCTTATCTTGTTGTTCTCTTGAATTCTTACAAGTATTTCTAGCTTAGGTTTCTCTCGAATACCTAAACGTTATCTAAGAAATGGACATTTTCATGCCTCTTACAAGCCTAAATGGTAAAGCATTCATAAGCAAAGTAAATAAAGAACCGAAATAAACTCAAATATATCATCAAAATAAAGTCTAAACATCCATTAAACCAACCACCACCAAATAAGTTAGTTCATGGTGGGGTTCGAAATATCCAAACACAAAGTCATGCAAATATTCGTTCCAACAACCCATAAATAAATTGAAAAATAGTAGCAAAAAGGGAAGTGAAAAGAAGTCTTCGACGCGCCACCGGAGGTCTCCTCGGCCACCACGAACCATTTTAGCTCGCTAGCTCCTCTCGGTACTTAGCTCGCCACTCCTTGAAGCTTAATCAATGGAGGAAAACCCAAAGGAAGAAGAAAAGGAAAAGGAAATAAAAATCTGATTTTTTTATGCTCTATGCGTGTGCCTCTTCACATCTCTCCCTTTAGGTGTCATTATAATAAAAGGATCTAGGGGTAATGATTAGGTTGTTAGGTGCGAAATACCCCTCATACCCCTAGAATCACACCATAAGCATGAACTTAATTCTCCAGGTGGCCTTAGTCCTCTAGAAGGTGGCTACAACAATCATTTCACGTGCAGTGTCAGCTGTCCTCATACAACTTTATATTTTTGTCGTTTTCTACGCCATAAATGCCAAGGCATTTCAATCTACTTTAGCAACGTGTGATGTCGTGGCATTACTTCCCAACGAATCCTTTTTGCTTACTATTCCTGCACATCATAGACAAACTGCACCTTTCCCTCAAGCAGCATCATTAAGAAATATAATAGCACTACTACCACAAATGCAACTATATACAACTATATGATCCTAAAATGCCTAAAATGAACTTTTAAACAAACAATAACTTAAGTGAAAAAGGCCTTAAAAGTAGCCTTTTTAGGAAGTTAACAGTTTCAAACCGAGAGATGAGAGAGATAGTCTCTAAACTCTCTCAAACATCTCAACAGAAAAAGAAACGCCGCCGCTCATCGACGATTTCCGTGGCGGTTCTGACGACAGAGCGCGACGACTGAAACGAGTCGAATACCCCAAATAAAACACCTCTTTACCCTTAACCCAAATCTCAACTTAGTTTTAGCATAAAACCACTCCTTAACCCTAGATCTAAATATTACCTCTCGAACGTTTAGAAATCCGATGACCCCCTTTGATTTCCCGATAAGTTACGAACCCAGATATGATCTTTTTCTCTCTATTTTCCTCTTGTTCGAGACCCCACTGTTCGAATACTCTCTACTTTTTTTTCTTTCCCTTCGAGACCCCTCTCTGAATCCTCCAATAATCCCATCCGCTGCTGAATCTGGTTCTCTACTTTATTTCCTTTTCATGCGTGATTGGTGGATCTTAATGGTTTAGGTGGATGATTTGGGGTAGGTAGGATTAAGTAAATTATTTTTGACTTTAGTGTTTATTTGGCAGATTTCGGTGGATTGATGATGGAGTGGGGTATGGGAAATGGCCAAAAATTGGTGTTTACACATGTCAGTTAAAAAACTGACCCGGATTCGTATTTCAGGTATACTTGCCCTTATTTTGGGATCATCTCCGGTTATTTCCCTTTATACTACGGTAGCCGTCTATGTGATTTTGTAAAGCTTCTAGATTTGAATTTCGAATTCAAATCGATTCTAACTTCGATTAAGGAACTCAACGAGTCTTATTTTCGGGTTGACGAGGTGAGGTATTGGCCGTAAATTTCATGTTTCTATTGTATAATTTGTTAGATGTTACTTTGGTCGCTGTAGAGGAAACTCTCCGTTTGGCTAAATCTTTAAACCTCAAAATCGTGACATTAGGTGAGTACGAAGCGAGTTTAAATCGAGTTGGGTTCCCAAACCGGTTAAAGAATGCTCTGCGATATTACTCGGTCGTGTTCGAATCATTGGAACCGAACTTGCCTCGCGAATCACTCGAGAGAATATAAGTTGAAATACTGTTATTGGGTCGAAAAATAGCGGCGATTATTGAACCGGATGAACCAGGTAACCAACGGGAGCGAATGGAAGATGAAGAACAATAAAAGGTTTTAATAGAAAGTGTTAGTTTAGAAGAGGTAACCCTTAGCCACTACACGATAAAGTCAAGCGAAAATTCTGCTGCGAAATTATAATTTCAGCTCCTTGCATTCGCTAATTGAATCCTAACCTGGGTTTCTATCATTAGCTTGGAAAGAGGTGCCCCTACTCACAGTTTCATCCTAGCATTGATGATGATTTCAGAGGCCATCAATGTTGTGAATTTTTCCACCTGGTTATTTTTTTCTCCTTTAACACTTTCTGGTATATTATCTTTTTTAACCGTTTCAGCATTACACGAATTGTAATATAAATTTCAAATCATGAATAATTTAAGGATCTGGTGGACGGAGGACGGTAGCGTGGTTAGCGGCAAAGGAAATCATTTGGTTAGTGATAGTTAATATACAACTCTTATATAGATCCTTTGTTTTTTTTTAATTATTATGAAATTCAGACTGAAGAATCTATTAAATATAATATGTTTCATTCATTACTTGAGTAAGTAGCTTATTTTGTTGGTAAAACAATGAGCAATTTACCCGAGAGACCCATGTTTGAGTCCTCTTTCATGCATTTCACCATTTTTATTGTGCACCAATAAGACGATAGCGATCTCAATGATCTGGACGTCCACGTCAACTTACTGACGATTTTCATCCAGCGTGGATTGTTTTTGACCCAAAAATTAACGTTCGGTGCCCAAATATTAAAAAAAATACGGGCAAATATGACACCACTATTAAACGTTAATGTTATTTTGTTGCATTATGCCATAATAATTTTACTAAATATTAAGGTTGAATTTTAATATTATTTTTTAATATAAAAATCCTCTAAATATATATAAAAGTTTCTAAAAATCCAAAGTAGCGTATTTCCAGATGCAAATGAACGCTGCCGTTTAGTGTTGCAATAGTCTGACTATTGCAGAGCAATCTATATAATCCCCCACCTCTCTCATTTCCACCCTTCTAATTGGCACTTGTCACTCTCCCGAGTTAAATCGACTGAAGTCTATCTCCAACACATAGATGGAGCAATTCAGGAAACAACCTCGTCTTCCGAAATTTGCCGTACCTAAGCGCTACGATCTCCGCCTTAAACCTGACCTCTCCGCTTGCAGATTCGCCGGGTCCGTCTCGATCGACGTCGACGTCGTCGCCGACACTCGCTTCATCGTCCTCAATGCCGCCGAACTCTCTATCAACAGCGGATCTGTCTCTTTCTCTCCTCGTAACTCTTCCAAGGTCTCATCTAAGTTAATTTTCGTCGATATTCAATTACCTCCTATTGATTTCTGTATTTCCGCTTTACTTAGTTTAATTTTTGGATTCGAAATGAGATTCATTATATGTTCTTTTTGTTTGATTAAATCACCGCATGGCTCTTCATTTCTTTATTTCCGCTGTACTTAGTTTATTCTTCGGATTCGAAGTAAGGTTCATAATATAATCTTTTGATTGAATAAATTCCCTCATATCTTTCCATTTTTGTATTTCTGGTTTACTTTAATTTTTGGATCCGAAGCAAGATGCATAATATGTTCTTTTGTTTGATTAAGTTACCTCGTAGCTCTTCATTTCCATATTTCCGCTCTACCTAGTTTAATTTGTGGATTCAAAGTAAGATTCATAATATGTCCTTTTGTTTGATTAAATTACAGCATAGCTCGTTATTTCTAATTTTTTTATTCGAAACATGATTCATGATATGTTCTGTTGTTTGATTAGATTACCTCATAGCTATTCATTGCTATATTTTTGCATTGATTAGTTTGATTTTGGACTCAAAAGAGAGATTCATAACATGTTCTTTTGTTTGATTAAATTTTGGACAATTTAGTGGTGTGCAACTGATGTTTGAACAGGTATTTGAACCGTCAAAAGTTGACTTAGTTGAAGAAGATGAGATTTTGGTGATAGATTTTGCTGAGACACTTCCTCTGGGTCTGGGAGTTTTGGCTATCGGATTTGAAGGAATCTTAAATGACAAAATGAAAGGATTCTATAGAAGGTACTCATTTCATGCTTATATAGTAGTTCTGATTGAAAGAAGGAAGATTAGGATATTTATCTAATTAATGAATTTTTGACATTCAGTATATACGAGCACAATGGTGAGAAGAAGAATATGGCAGTTACACAGTTTGAGCCAGCTGATGCTAGGCGATGCTTTCCGTGTTGGGATGAACCTGCTTGCAAGGTTATTACTTTAGCTTTTCTAAAAGCTTTTGTATATTAGTTGTTTAATCTAGACTTTATTGATTTTTCGTTAATGAAATTATAGGCTACGTTTAAGATCACCTTAGATGTACCATCTGAGCTAGTAGCCCTCTCAAACATGCCAGTCATTGAGGAGAAAGTGAATGGGCCTCTGAAAAATGTTTCTTTTCAAGAATCACCAATCATGTCTACTTATTTAGTGGCTGTTGTTGTTGGTTTGTTTGATTATGTGGAAGATCACACGCCCGATGGTATGCTCAAACTCTGTTATTCATTTCTTTTTGGTGACAATGCAATCATAATCTATTGATTTTTTCTTATGTTAATGGTGCCTGTCATTTTCTATTATTTATTGCCTTCAAACTTTTTACCTGTATTTTTGGTAGGGGTTAAAGTTCGAGTATACTGTCAAGTTGGGAAGGTAAATCAAGGGAAATTTGCTCTAAAAGTTGCTGTGGGAACACTCAGTTTGTACAAAGAGTAAGTTTTCTCTTCATTTAATTGCTTGCATATGGATTGTTATTCTCCTATTTTATTATTCCCTTATTAATTCAGCTAACTTCTACAGCTATTTTGCCGTGCCTTATCCTCTTCCCAAGCTGGATATGATTGCTATTCCTGATTTTTCTGCTGGGGCAATGGAGAACTATGGCTTAGTTACATACCGTGAGACAGCATTACTCTACGACGAGCAACATTCTGCAGCTGCCAATAAGCAGAGGGTATATTTGTAAAACATGTTGCTGCCCTTAGATTATTTTATCCTGCATCTGACAAAATGTTTGACAATATGACCTGATGTAGGTCGCAACTGTGGTGGCCCATGAACTGGCACACCAGTGGTTTGGTAATCTTGTGACAATGGAATGGTGGACGCATTTGTGGTTGAATGAGGGTTTTGCTACATGGGTAACACACTCCCCCCCCCCCCCGCGGGCCTTCCCAAAAAAGAAAAAATAGTATTTATCAGCATGTGCTTGAAATTGAATTTATGATGATTATGCATTTTCAGGTAAGCTACTTGGCAACTGATAGCTTGTTTCCAGAATGGAAAATATGGACTCAGTTTCTTGATGAAACTACTGATGGTCTTAGGTTGGATGGCCTTGCAGAATCCCACCCAATTGAGGTAAATGGATATTGTATGAAGCTATTTTTCTCTGCATCAGGGGTGCGACTGCTTGTTTCTAGAATATTTGAAATTTAAACTATTTTTCTTTGCAGGTGGAAATCAATCATGCTGCTGAAATCGATGAAATTTTTGATGCTATAAGTTATAGGAAAGGTGCCTCAGTTATCCGCATGCTACAAAGCTATTTAGGTGCTGAATGCTTTCAGGTTGGTCTTCTTGTCTTAGTTGGTTTCCTAATGATTGTGATTATACTTTGGGCGTGATTGCTTGACCCAAAAAATGCGTCTTTTGAATGTCCCAAATTTTAAGATATTCTTGCTGGTAATTATTTCTCTGAAGACACTGGAGAAGAAGAAATACTGGAATATCAAATTTTATTTTATTCATTTAATAAATGCTTCTGATAGCATATGTTTATTCTTTGAATATCTTAAATCAAATGTTAATTGATTTACTTGGATGTGAACTGTTCCACCTATCAGAAATCACTTGCTTCATATATTAAAAAACACACATACTCAAATGCGAAGACAGAGGACTTATGGGCTGCCCTTGAGGAGGGATCTGGTGAACCGGTGACTAAGCTAATGAATACATGGACCAAACAGATGGGCTATCCAGTTGTCTCTGTCAAAGTCAAAGATCAGAAGTTGGAATTTGAGCAGGTTTAATCATGTTTGATTCATTTATGTTGGTTGGATTGGGAATGGGAAAATGGGGTTTTCTGTTCAATTCAAATGCATTCATCATCTGTTTCAATTTATTCCATTTTATCCGATGTTACTGAAGTCAGTGCTAAAAATTGATGTGATGAATGGCAGTCACAATTCTTCTCTAGTGGTTGCACTGGGAATGGGCAGTGGATTGTCCCGATAACATTTTGTTGTGGGTCATATGAGAAGAAGAAAAGCTTTTTGTTGCAAACTAAGTCAGAAACTCATGATGCTAAGGAACTCTCTTCTGATGGCAATAAAAGTGCTTGGATAAAGCTTAATGTGGAGCAGACTGGTTTCTATAGGGTGAAATATGACGAGGAACTTGCCGCTAGACTCCGTCATGCAATAGAAAACAATTACTTGACTGCAACCGACAGATTTGGTAATTTGGATATTTTCATGAGATTGCATGTTCTAGAATGATAAAAAAGATAAGGTAACATTGCTTCTTCCTTTTCCAGGCATCCTTGATGATTCATTTGCACTTTGTATGGCACGCCAATTGCCTTTGACTTCCTTGATTACCTTGATGGCTGCCTACAGAGAGGAACTCGAGTATACTGTGCTTTCTAACTTGATTACTGTAATGCTCATCTCTCACTCTTGCTTAAACTTACTTTCAACTATACTCCGTAATCCTGATTCTAGCTCTTGCTTTTCACAGATAACATATAAGGTTGGGAGAATTGCGGCTGATGCAAGACCTGAACTGATGGATAACATTAATCAATTTTTTATTAACCTTTTCCAGTATTCTGCCGAGTAAGTTATCTTAAATGTACTTTTTCTTTTGAAAATCATCGAGAAGTTATTGTCCATTTCTTTCAATCCAAGCCTTAATCTAATGCAAATTTTCTGTTTTTAATATCTTATAGGAAGCTTGGTTGGGATGTTAAACAAGGTGAGAGTCATCTGGATGCAATGTTGAGAGGTGAAATTTTGACTGCACTTGCAATGCTTGGACACAAGGAGACACTGAATGAAGCAAGTAGACGATTTGATGCATTCTTGAACGACAGAAACACACCACTCCTCCCTCCTGACATAAGAAAGGTTTTCGACTACTTCTGATTGTGAAGGATTAATTGAGGCCATTGTCCCCATTTTTACCCACTTGTTAACTATTAACTATGGTTTCAGGCAGCATATGTAGCTGTAATGCAGTCGGTCACCTCCTCCAACAGAGCAGGTTTTGAGTCTCTTTTGAGAGTTTATAGAGAGACTGATCTAAGCCAGGAGAAAATCCGTATTTTAGGTACTGAGTAATCTTTTTTCGTTGTATAACACGTATGATGAGTCGATGAATTTAACAATTATATCACTTGTTACATTTTGTAGGTTCATTGCCATCTTGTCCTGACCCAGCTATTGTTCTTGAAGTTCTAAAATTCTCATTGTCTCCTGAGGTATATTCTTACCAATCATTTATCATAATAAAGTAAAAGATATAAAGTCTGGTCTCAACAACAATTCCCCCTCCCCCTTCCACTTTAAGGTTCGCTCCCAAGATGCTATATATGGACTGGGTGTTAGCAAGGAAGGTCGTGAAGTTGCCTGGACATGGCTCAAGGATAACTGGGATTTCATCGTAAAAAACTTCGGTGGATTCCTGATACCACGTTTTGTCAGTGCAGTTGTCGCGCCGGTTTGTGCCTTACCCTCTTTCTTTGCAACTTTTTACAATATTTGGGAATTCAAATTCTCGTACTGATATTTGAATATGTTCAACTCAAGTGTTAAAACACGAGTACTTAAAAAGAGTTTAATTTAAACATGGGTTGATTATAAATTTCATTTTTTTTTTAAATTTCTTATCCTCGTACGCAGTTTGCATCTTTTGAGAAAGTGGAGGAAGTGGAGGAGTTCTTTGCAAGCCAAGAAAAGGCTTCGATAGCGAGAACGTTGAAGCAGAGCCTTGAACGTGTTAACATTAATGCCAATTGGGTTAAGAGCATTCAGGCAGAGAAATATTTGGGCGAGGCCGTGCAGGAGTTGGCTTATAGGAAATACTGAGATTTTATCTTTTTTTGAGTCCAATCGATTTGGGTTAAAATAAATTTAGTTTTAAAATTTCAATTTGAAGTTAATGACATTTTAGGCTTGTGTTTATTGTAAGATTGTCGTTTAAGGTTTTAATACAGATTTGAAGTATTTTGGGTTTTGGTCATATTCGGTGTCAATTTGGCATTTGGTTAATTCTGATGGTTATTTGGTTTGATCAATATCGAGTCGAACGCAATTGTTAGTGGTATATATAAATAGAAAATTAGTGATACCTATCAGTCTGTCACATTCAGTACAGTTTCCTTTTCTTGTATGTTTGATTTCATTCATACAACCATATAACCTAGAGGAATACAAGTACCTTATATAATAGTAAGCTTAATGAAGAAAATAGATGTCTGAATTATACTATTTGTTAATTTTAGGTATTCGAAACTATTTTTCGCTCAAAGTAGGTGTTCATTTTAAGTGTCTGAAATCTTTTTTGTTTAAAGCAAACGTCTAATTCTATGATTTTATTATTTAAAGTGTTTATGTCGAAATGACCGTTATGTTTATATTTTTTGAATTTGTTATTTAAAAACCTTATAAAAATTATTATTTAAAAATAAACTCAAATTTCACTAAAGTCTCGTTAGTAATTTTAGGCCACCGTCTTCGTCGTAGAGTGCCTACCCATAGATAATTGTCCGTCTAATAACTGGCCATTCATCTTTACGTTATTTTAAATCCCTAGACATATAAACTCTTAAATCTAAAACCTTAAATTTAATTTTAATATTACGTGAACGGTGGATAAGAGAATTAACCGTCGTTCCAACAATCCTAATGCGGGGGACTTTACTGATCAAAACCGATTTTTTTCTTTAGTTGAAGACTAAAATTAAACGGATCAAAAATCATTCATATAATTTATCCTCGAATAAATAAAGCTCAAGTCCAAAACTAAGGGAGTCATCCATTGTTTCTTTTTTCTGTAAAGGCTTTTGATGAGTAAAGTAACGAACTTTTGTCTTTATCGATAATCATCCTATCGAGTAGTAAAAATTGGGATGTTACTTAAATTATGCGTCATGTTTGAATCTTTATGAATGAAGAAAACAATATTAAAAGAGCTGTATTTGATATTTAATATAAGAATCTGACACGTATATAATTAAAGTTCATTGTAATTATCAAATATCGTAAATCATAAAAAAAATCATTTCTAAATACTTTTATACATTTATTCGAACATGTTAGATACAGACACATACATCAAGCACAAATGCCAATTTTTATTTTTATTCTGTAAAAAGTATACAGTTTAGGTATCATGCTAGTGTGAATGCATGAAACAATATGAGAGTCAAATTGAAGTTTCAAATCTTTGTGGGTTTGGACTTTGGTATTGGAAATGATTAAGAATTTAGACATTTTTTATTTAGAGATAATTTAATTTGAATAATCGAGAAATAGATTTAAACCGTTAATCTTTTCTCTTTTTCTTCTTTTTCTTTACAATTTCTTAGTTTGTAAATTAATTACGAGAATAATCCTATAGTTAATTCTTGTAAATCAAGCCTCCCAAAATATATTGTTTAAAATTAACTTGATAATAATTTTAAGGATTAAAATGATTTGACTTCAATCAATAAACTTAATCACGTGAGTCATTAAAATTAGATTACTCGTTCCTTTACTGTAACTCTACTGTGATCTATGTTAAATTGTTCTTCAATTAGGTATAAATAATAATTATAAATAAATTATTCTGATCAATTGTGTATCATCAGGGATAAAACGAGAAACTATTAGTCGGTTTATATATGTATTAGTGAACTTTAAACATGTTCGGTCATTTGTTACCCTACTATTATTATTGTTGAAGTCGCTTCCACCGTCGTTGCCGGTCCATCACTGCGGACAGGTTCTGACGTCGTCGCCGATTCAATCTCACCGCCGCAGACGGTGAAGCGTGACAAAAGGGGAAATCATAAAGTGAAGCAGGAAAGTTGATAAAAACCTTGAGATAACATAATCTCCAAGTACAGTACAAAATCAATCATTTATTTAATTATTCAAACCCTAAAGTCATTATTATTGTATAATCGTAATTAATTACCTGAGGATCCTGTTATCTAGAAACAAGTGTTATTAGTTAATGAGGTGATAATTGAACTTTGGGATTACGCTAATACAACTGGATGGTTTGGATTATTTAGCTACTAATTATTGTTTTATATTCCAATCCTAATTCTCCGCTTCTATTTCAACTCACTTGCTTATTGTTTGACTTTATGCTTTTTATTGCTTGCCTTGGAAGATAGATCAACTCCACAAAATCAACAATTCCTTGGGTAAACTACACCAATGACCATTTAATTACAAGATATTCTAATGTAAACACTGATATTTCTAATCGTCGTTCTTTTAATTTTGTCAATCAAACCACTTAATTATTTGAATGATGCTAATCAAGTCATCAGCCATTAACATTTAACGGAGAGGGTGGCATTACTTAAAACTATGATATAGTTACACATTTGGTTTCTATAACTTACACGTTCTATCAATTCGGTCTTAATTTAATTTAATTCAATAAATTTAATCCTCTAATCAGATAGTAAAATGTATCATCACTCGATTAGAGGATTTTTTTTCTTAATTTTAATTTATTGAATCGATATAACATATAAATTTTGAGTACTAAAATTATTATTATATCAGACCACGTCACTATTTCATCTAATATTCAACAGCCAATGACTTATTTGTAACAATGTTTTAAATGAATGATTGAATTGTAACTTTTAGAAAAAGAATGGGCCATTTATAATAATTGAGTGACATAAGGTGTACCATAGACTAAAATTTACATTGAAGTTTGAATATATTTATATATAGGTTAAATTGTATAAAAGTCCTTGTATTATACGTTTTTGTTGGATTTTCCTATGTCATAACATGATAAATTATATTCTTAAAGCTTTTTTGAATTTTTTTTTTTAGCATTAGACTACTTTTTAAGACGGAGTGCATCAAATGTCATTAGACTATATTAAAATAACTATTATGGTTACTAAACTTTCAAAAATTTAAAAATATTCATTAAATTTATAGAATTATTACAAAATGATCACTAAGACACTATAACAATTTATAAAAGTTTGATAAATTTAATGATCATTTTATAACATTTCAGTAAATTTAATGATTATTTTATATATTTTAAAAAAATCAATAACATAGTTTGATAACCTCTAATATAATTTACTTATTTTTCATATAAATTTTGCTAAATAATTTAACGTGACTTATTTTTTAAATTATGTAATATTGTGAATGTATATATCACGCTCTTATATTTCTAAAAATAAGTCACGTTAAATTATTTGATAGACTAATGGAAAAAATTGACGAAGTAGTAAATCCACTAAAATGCATAATGCATGGACTTATTAATAAATTTACCATTTATGATAAAAATAAAGAAAGAAAGATTCAGCATCTCCTTTGGGTGGTGTGTCTTTCTCTTCCTCAAATTCACTCTAATTCTCAGCTCTCACTCTCCCATTTTCCCTTACAATTTTGTTCTTCAAACAATGTCAGACTCTAAACCCGCCGCTCCCCCCGCCGCAAACGGCGGCACCGTCGGAGCAACAACAGCCGCAACCAACGGTGGCACCACGAAACCGCATCTTTACAATACCACTTCTCGTCCGGCGTACCGTCAACCCTACAACCGCCGTCACCACCATCGTCCCCGGAGAAACTACTGCTGCTGTTGCTGTTTCTGGACCATCCTCGTCATCCTCATCCTCGCTCTTTTAGCTGCCATAGCCGGAAGCATCATCTACGTGCTTTACCGCCCCCACCGACCTTCTTTCACCATCGCTTCCCTCCGTATCCACCGCTTGAACCTAACGACCACCGCCGACTCCTCCTCTTCCCATCTCTCCACCCTCTTGAACTTAACGCTTTCCTCCAAAAACCCAAACTCCCACCTCTCCTTTTCCTACGACCCTTTCGCCATTTCATGCGAAACGAGCGACGGCGCCGTCTTTATTGGCAACGGAACACTGCCGGCTTTCGTCAGCAGCAGCAAGAATGAGACGAGCTTCAAGGGAGTTGTGATAACGACCGCGAGCGATCCAGATTCCGATGCCGTGAACAAGCTGAGATCCGATCTGAAGAAGAATGGGGTGTGGTTGAAAATTGAGATGGATACTCGGCTGAGGGTGAAAATGGATGGAGTGAAGAGCAAGAAGGTGGGGATTAGGGTTACGTGCCATGAGATTAAAGGGGCTGCGCCTAAAGGTAAGTCGCCGGCGGTGGCCGATGTTTCGAGGTCCAAGTGTAAGGTTGATCTAAGGATCAAGATCTGGAAATGGACCTTTTGACCACCTGATTTATTGTTTTATTTTTCCTTTCAAAATTTACTTTGCATTTTTTTCACTTGATTATCAATGGTTTTTGTGAAATGCATTGTTATAGTAATATTTTTAAAAAATCATGTTCGAATATTTTTGACTCGTGATTATTTCTTTTAATAATATCATTTTTAACGATTGTATTCACTTTCTTTTATTTGGGAATTTTTAGTTATATAATTATGAGTTGATTTGTGAGATATTAAGTTTATTAAATAAATTTGAATTTTTAATATTGTAAATGAAATAAATTAATTAGAAAATTTGTTTTATAATAAGATTCACTCAATCGTAAAATTGAGTAATTTTTTTTTAGAGATTTTAAATTCGGGCAGTTGTATTTGTATAATATATTTACATTATCAATTGTTAAAAAAATTAAACAAATATTATTTTATAATCATTCAAATTATTTAAAAAAAGATTGTCTCATAATAAAATATGTAATACTTAGTGAAAATGATATTAATTTGAATGTTTAAAAGTTTAATGATTAATGATTAATTTGTAATGAGAATCATAATTTAAGAATAAAATTAAAGCATTAAAAGAGTTAGATATTAATTTAAAATAAAAGTTATAATTTGAAGGTATATGATATAATTAACTCGTAAAAATAAACAAATAAATATTTGAAAGTGTCATTAACGTTAATTACACACATAATTACTAAATTTTTCATCATTTACAATTGAAGGATGTAATTAAAATAGTTCAATCACATTTGATTCAACATGAATTAATTATAATA